CCAATGGGCTGGACCAACAGGTCCCCTTGCTTTCAGACGTTCTGAATGGGTTTGGGCATGGAAAGGCAGTGGCAGGAGGGCAGAGGATGGGAGGAGAATGATGTCCGGGTGTTTATTTCCCCGACTCCACCCCTGCTGGGTCACCATGGTTATTGAAGGCCACATCTCCTTTCAGGTAGCCTCCTCTGTGCATCTGTCCTCTATGGGTTCCTGTAACTGCCCTATTCCTTACCCCTGCAGGCCAGGCTCCCTACGTCTTCCCTTGTTGGTTTCCCCAAACCCTGCCCACACCTTTGTAAACAATAAACTTCTAACATTTATTTATTTATTTTTTATAATTATTTATTTAGAGAGACGGGGCGGAGGCAGAGGGAGAGAGAGAATCTCAAGCAGGCTCCATGCCCAGGGTGGAGCCTGTCGAGGCGCTCGATCTGTGACCCTGAGATTATGGACCCCAGCTGAAATCAAGAGTTAGACGTTTAACCGACTGAGCTGCCCAGGCGTCCCCCCAAAATCTTATTTATTTTTTTATTTTTTAAGTAATCTCTACCCCCAACGTGGGGTTCGAACTCACAACCCTGAGATCAAGAGTCGCACGCTCTACCGACCGAGCCGCCCAGGCACCCCTGAACAATAAACTTTTAATAAACTCTCCCTAAATCACTTTCAGTGTTCCGTCTCTTTCCTGCAAGGATCTGGACCAAGGAATTCTGTAATGCTTTGGGGGCTTGTTCTGGGTGGAAGTGTTTTAAGAGTTTACTGATGGACATCTTTGAATCCCCCTTCCTCAAAGTCAAGGTCAGTGTGCCTCCTCCACTCCACAGGATACCTGACTTGCCACACGCTCTGGGATGCACAAAAGTCTTTTTTTTTTATTGATTTGTATTGATCGACCCTCAGGGACAATGATGGCGTCTCTGCTGTGGTTTATAAGTACATCCAGCTGTGAGGCGCTCCGGCCGGAGCTTTCAGGAATCAGTAGGAGGCAGCTGACAGGCTAGTTCTCTCCAGACTGTACTGGGGCAGGCCAGGGAGAGCTGTCATTGCCGAGAGCTGGTTGGAAGTGGCTGGGCGCCAGGTGGCCTAGAAGGACAAGGGTGCCCACACTTGGTGGACCACGCGCCCTCCATCTTGTTCCTGCCTCTGCCTCCCAGCTCCCCAAGGCCTTGGAGTCTACATTCAGAGAACAGGCTCTGTGGGTGCTGGAAGATTAGGGTTCTCCCCCCCCCCCCCCCCCCCCCCCCCGCACTCCCCCACCGCCCCGGGGGGGGGCAGTGTGCCGCAGGAGGTCAGGGAGGAGCCTGTCAATGCCTTCAGAACGGGGTTGTGAATCACCTGATGATCAGTGTCAAATTGCCAGGCTCTGATTGAGCAGGTCTGGGTGGGAGCCAGAGATTCTATATTTCTAACCAGCACCCTGGTGGGGCTGGGGCCGGGGCCGGGGCTGGGGCTGGGGCTGCTGATCTAGGGAACACACTTAAGTAGCAAGGACTGAGATCTGAGCCGTCCGTTCCAGGAGCCGCCAGCCAACAGGTGGCTGTGTCCATTTAGTGTCTTTCCTTCGACTTTTATCTCATAATCTCATCAACCCATCAGAACCGAGTTTCTAGTAACAGGTTTTGGCTTAAATCAAAAAGAGAAGTACGTTAGTGTTTATGAAACTGGAAAGAGAGGATGCTGGCATGGGGAATGGCAGGGTCCAGGAACTCAGATGATGTTGCCACTGTCATTGTCACCACCAACCACCTCTTTCACTCATCGCTCCTTTGCTCCTTTATTTTTTTGGCCTCTTCCTCTGGACCTACTGGCTTCCTGTCTCCGGCAGGGGCTTTGGCTGCCGGTGGCAACAGGCTAATCCCACACTGCCATCGAAAAGGGAAAAGCGAGCTCTCTCCCCCAGCCTGGAGCGTGCCCGCCCGGCACTGCACCTGGCTCTGGATAGGGGGCTGGAGCGTCCTGTTGGGGGGGCAGGTCACTGCCGTGGGCAGCGCCCCAGAATCAGATGAGTGGAGGGGGAGCCTAGTGGAACCCCACGGGAAGAGACGGTAGAGCAAAGACGGGGCAGACAGAAGCCGCAGCGGGTCGGGCCCCGCCACTGCTCTCTTCCACCTCCGTGAGGCTCCTGTCCGGCTCGCCCCCCCTTAAGAACCTCTCCTCGCTTCTGCCACCCTCTCATCGAGCAAAGATAGCTTGACAAATTTTGCCGGATGCTTAAAAGAGCACAACCGTCTTCCCTGTTGTTTTCATTGCAACCGATTATCGAGGCTTTCTTCTTGGTGCAGGAATTAAAATAAAAAGACACATGTTCTGGCTTGGTTTTCCCTTTGGTTCCTTCAGGCATCTGATAGCGGCTCACACTGCCTTGCTGGAAGAATTTCTTTACGTTGCTTGAGAGCGGCAAGCAGAGCTGCACGGGCAGTAAGAGCAGGAGCGGAAGGCAGAAGCCCGGGGAGAAGCTGGAGGCCGGGTTTGGTCCGACGTTCGTTAATGGGCTGGAAGGACAGACGGCGTGGGGAGACGAGGTCTGTGGCAGGTCCAGTGCTGGGAACGCACAGGGAAGGCGGTGCAGGCAGGGACTGGGAAGGAGTCAGCGATGGCCACTCTTCGTTTTTTTTTTTCCTAATAAGAAAATTGCACATTGGATTTTTGGGATTTTTTTGGAAGAGGGGAATAGGGAGAGTTTGGGGGTCAAGGGGAGGAAGGAGAGTATTGGCTAAACATGGCAAAGTCTCCAAAACCAGAAGGACAGGTGTCTGGAATGTCATCTCCGAGACCTGGATCCAGCTTCATCCTGTCTGCCTTTCTCACGCCAGCATCCCATCCAGACATGGAAAGGTACAGCCATCACACGGCCTGGCTGGGTGTCACTCTCCAGTCAGAGCACCAAGAGGGGAACGAGCATTTGTGGAGCACCTGTGTGCTGGGCACTTTGCATACTTGAGCTCAGTTAATCCTCACAAAGGACCTGTGGCAAAGATCTGCATCTCCAAGTCTCAGGTGAGGGCTGCGAGAAAAGTGAAGTAAACCCCACAAGACCACCGAGCTCGTGAGCCAGAGAGCTGGGATTCAAACTTGGGTCTGACTGCAGAGCTGGAACTCCTCATCCGTCCATTCATCCGTCTGTCCGTCCGTCCATGCACCACCCATGCATCCCACAAATATCTAGGGAGCATCTCCTCCGTGCCTGACACCATGCTAGGGCCAGAGGACGTGGGAGAGGGGACGAGGTAGACACAATCCTTGTCCTCGTGGAGCTTGCAATGCAGTGGGATGCAAAAGACAGTAAACAGACATATGATGACACGTTGTGAAAAGCAAGAGTCACGGCAGATTGGCAGGGCTGGGGTGAGGTAAGGATGGCACCCAGGATGCAACTTTTAAGGAGATGCCTGCTCTCGGGGTCCTGCACATCCAGGCTTGGCACTGGCACCTCCCTGGTTCCTTATGTTTTGCACCCACAGGGGCTTGCTTGCCTTGGTCTCATCCTGTCCTGCAGGTAGGGAGTCCTGGAGGGGCAGGTGACATTGGTGCAGGTGGCGTGTGGTATCTGGAGCATGAGCTTTGGGGTGGATGGTGGGGACTGAGCGCGTTCCGCTAAGCAGAAGGTATCTCTGCCTCCTGACTGTGTCGGGGACCAGGGGATGGAGAAGGAAAAAAGAGGTAAAGAGATTAGTGGGCAATGTTTCCTGTGTGTGGGGAAGGGGGGGAGGACTACCCGAAGAATATGCTTATTGATGCTTTACACACATGCTTAGTTTAGATAAACTGGCCAAAAGTCCATCAGTCCCTGGAAAATTAAACACAGAGACCAGAGATTCCCAAAGTGGGTTCCCTGGACCAGCAGCATCAGCCTTACCTGGAAACTTGTTAGCAACACAGATTCTCGGCTTTTGCTCCAGACCTACTGTTTCAAAAACTTTAAGTAGCCCTTCCAGGTGATTCTGGGGCCTGCCCAAGTTTGAAAACCACTGGGTAGATGAGTGTCACTGCTTAACAGTGAGGGACTCTTTATTTTTTATTTATTTTTTTTTAGTCTGTTTTTTTTAAATTTAAATTCAGTTAATTAACGTATAGTGTACCATTAGTTTCGGAGGTAGCGTTCAGTGATTCATCAGTTCCATAGAACACCCAGTGCTCATCACATCACGTGCCCTCCTTAATGCCCATCACCCCGTTACCCCATCCTCCCATCCACCTGTCCTCCAGGAACCCTCAGCGCAGGAACGTCTGCGCTGAAGGCAGACGTTTAACGACTGAGCCACCCAGGTGCCCCTATACCACATCTTTATCCATTCATCTGTCGATGGACATCTGGGCTCTTCCCACAGTTTGGCTATTGTGGACATTGCTGCTATAAACACTGGGGTGCAGGTGCCCCTTCGGATCCCTACATTTGTATCTTTGGGGCAAATACCCAGTAGTGCAATTGCTGAGTCGTAGGGTAACTCTATTTTTATCTTCTCGAGGAACCTCCACACTGTTTTCCAGAGTGGCTGCACCAGCTTGCATTCCCACCACGAGTGTAAGAGGGCTCCCCTTTCTTCACATAGTGAGGGACTCTTGAAACCTTACCTGGGCAGAGACACAAAAGCCAGCCTTCCCCGAGAAATGGCAGTGTCCTTGTCACCAGTCCTCGGCAGCCCAGGGAGGGTAGTGACTTACCTTGGGTCACGTGAGTGTGAGCAATGGTGCCGCCCCTGGCCTGTGGATCTCATTCCCACTCTGCAGGAGTTTATGAATCTATTTGTGAAGACCCTGGAGGAGGGAGGGCCTATCACTTACTTCTCTGTGTCAAAGAGATATGACAGATTTCCATATCAACATTTACGCCCTGTTTTTAAAGTCCCATTTGTGCTGTCGGACCTCACGAAGACAGAAAATGAGAAATGTCAAGTGAATCGGTCATAACCGCTCTGAAATGGGGGGTGGCTGAGTTGGAGCCCTTCCCTCACGCCATGCCCTAGGAGCCAGACAGCAATGAAGAACGAGGAGCAGAAGAAAAGGTTATAAAAATGTTTAGTCTTTGCTTTATTGAGTTACAACAAATGAGCAACAAGTTAGAAAAAATGGTTGTTTTTTTTTCCAAACTCCCTAGCATTTTATTTGTGCAGTGTACCCAAATGGGGGGTGATGGCGGGGGCGGTTTGCAAACACAACTCATATTGCAACATTTACACCAGATAGGTCTCTTGGTTTTTCCTCTTTAAAAGTTAGGACTAACTGGAAAGGAAAAAAAAAGTGCACTCAGGAATCTAAAATTGGCCCAAAAACAAACACACAAACAAACAAAAATCAATTCATGGTGAGGCTTCAAACTGAAATCTTGTCAAAAACCACACTGAGAAAAGCCAGTCAGGAACAGAAATCAAAACCGAAGCTGTTCATCTTTGTACCATCTAGATAGGAAGACCTCTTTTTTGTTTTAATTTCATAGAAGTAATGGTAATGCTAAAAAGGTGGGAGCCCTTTCTGCTGGTATCTGAAAAGAGGCTGAAAGTGGGGAGCCATCTGCTCCCCCAGGTCTCTGGTGCTGGCTCGGCCCAAGGTCAGCCGAAGAGGCCAGTCGGTTGAGAAACCAGATCTACCTGTTGGCAGTTCTGAAAGCCTTGTGCGTGGCTAAACAGGGACCCCATGGGTGGCTGGGGGAAGAACTGGCAATGGGTCTGATCGGGAAGATCTGTCATCTGTAAACCCTCTCAAAGTGGAGACAGATGCCCCAATCCTAGCCCTTCCCACAGAGAAATCGCCCAAATTTCAAACTACTTAAAAAAAAAAAAGGAACTCTCCCTACCTAAAATCCAGTAGATACAATGGCACTAATGCTAACATCCCCCCTCCCCAAAATTAATAAAATAAAGTTTTAAAAAAAGAAAAGGAAAAAAGAGAAAAGCACGTGTGATCAGCCCTCCCGCCTGGAAAAAACCTTACAATGGTAGTGCTGGAAAAGGACGTTGCCCTTGATTAAAAAGGTAACAAAATTCCCACATTGTACAAATTGGTTCCAGTATAGCAAGAGGTGGGGGCCAGGGCAAAGGCGCAAACTATTTACAGGGACCCACTGAAAATGCAGTAGTAGGACTTTGGCACTATGAACAATTCCCACCGGTCCTCTGGGCGGTGTGAGTGAGGAATGGGGTTCTTGTACCCTGCAGCCACGCGCCCGCTAAGTGGTTCCACTTGGAGTCTCTGGCCAGGGTGGCCCACGGCCGGGGAGAGAGGTTCTCTTCTTTCGTTAAAGACAGAGAGTCCCCTTTATCAGCAATGCAGTTCTGACGGACGTCCCTAGGAAGACGACACAAAACCAGAGACAAGATGTCAGGAGATGATCATTCCTTGGGGGGGAGGGGGCAGGGTTCGCTCTTCCTGGCTTTCCTGGGGAGGACCCCTTCCAAAGCCATCCTGGGGCTTGCAGGAGAGAAAAGTGCCCAGGTTTGGGGCCAGGTTTGTTTTTTTTTTTTTAAAGATTTTATTTGAGAGACAGACAGAGCATGAGCAGGGAGGAGGGGCAGAGGGAGAGGGAGAAGCAGACTTCCCGCTGAGCAGGGAGCCCGATTCAGGGCTCGATCCCAGGACCTCGAGATCATGACCTGAGCTGAAGGCAGACGCTTCACCAACTGAGCCACCCAGGTGCGCTGGGGCCAGTTTTTAAAAAGGCATGTGTGTTTCTGAGCCCAGTCTGACGGCACAGGAAGTGCCCCCAGAATCAGGCTTTTGAAAACAGCAGGGTCTTCCGGGCAAGTGGAGGTGGTGGCCTGGTATTGTTTACATCATTATAAGGCCCTTTCCTTATTCCTGTGTGTTGAGGGGGCGGCCAGACACAGTGGTTCCTAAGAGGTTCCAGAGTCCGACAAACTGGATTCGTGTCCTAACTATTTTGTTTACTGACAGTTGGGCCATACACATGTGACTTAATCTCTCTAGGGCTTAGTTTTTGCTTCTGTAAAATGGGTAATAATAGGTGCAGATTAAGTAAGCTGACATACGCCCCAGCATTTGTGTCAGGTACGCGACTACATAGTAAGTATTATAATTAGTAAGTATACTACATAGTATTATATACCTTTGTTGTTTTTGTTAGATGCAGCCTTTTCCAAGCATGGTAGGATCATAACAAGATGAGACATTTTAAGTGTATTTTTAATTTGATGTTCATATCAACCCCAATGGTGTGTGACCATTATTCCCATTTTACGGCTGAGGAGACTGAGCACAGGGAGGCTAAATACTTTGCCCAAGATTATACAGCCAGGAAATGGCCCAGTCAGGATTCCAGCCCAGGCAATCTCCAGAGTCTGTGCTGATAACATATGAACAGTATTTATTAAGAGCCCGTATGGAGAAATGCTTAATTCTTATATTCTTTGAAATTATGAAAACAGTGCAAGGACCCTCTGATGAGTTGAATCGTGTCTCCCCAACAAGCTGTATTGATGTCCTAATCCTCAGGATCTCAGAATGTCACCCGATGTGGAGATTCCTTTATAGAGGTAAGTAATCAAGTTAAAATGAGGTCATTAGGATGGCCCCTAATCCAATACAACTGGTGACGTCATTTACAGGAAATCCGGACACAGACGGATTCACGCAGGGAGGACACCACGCGAAGACAAAGGCAGAGACCATGGTGATGCATCTAGAAGCCTATGGATGCCGAGGGCTGCCAGCTACCCACCAGAAGCTAGGAGAGAGGCGTGGAACAGACTCTCCCTCACAGCCCACAGAAAGAAACCAACCCTGCCAACACCAGACTTGCAGTCTCCAGAACTGTGAGAGAATACAGTTCTGTTGTGGAAGCCAGCCGCTTGAAGGCAGCCCTAGGAAGTGAAGACGGACCGCCCTCATTGCCCCGTGGGCTCCCAGGATCTGGAGCTCCGGGCAGAGGAATCCCAGGGGAGGGTGCAGGGCTGGCAAGGGGACAGAACCAGTCCAGTGCAGGCACAGGGAGCACCGCCAGCCTCCTGCGAACTCGGCCGAGTGGAAAGAGTGGAGTAGTGGGGATCCAGGCTCTGCCACGTCCCTTCATGTCCCCGAGACTCACTTCCATACTTTGCACCTGCTGGGCCGCTGCGAGGGTCACAGAGGAGGAGTGCCCAGCAAGCAGGTGCTCCCCAAATACTGCTTCATTTTTCCATGAGGAAGGCCAGGTGTAAAATCGGGGCCTTAGGGGTCAGTGAGCTCAGGGGTGTGTGTGTGTGTGTGTGTGTGTGTGTGTGTGTGTGTGTGTGTGTGTGCGTGTGTGTGCGCGTGCGCGCATGCACGCGAGGAGACCTATTTTCTTCCCCTCTCAAAAATGGGACGGAACCCCATCCCTTCGAGTGAATGGCACAAACCCTCCCACTTTTAGACAGACCCCAGTATTAAGGTGGTTCTTCATCCGGCAGTGTTAGGATTCCCTGTGTCATTTCTTGGGGACATGAACACACATAATCCTCCAACCAGATGTATTAATGAAGAAAAGAACTACCGAACAAAGCCCTTAAACCAGCCCCTGCCCCCCGCCCAAAACAGACTGCAAGGGCCAAAGGGTGACCCAGAGAACAAGAGACAGAGCTGCTTTTGCAGAGACCCTGGGTGTCTGTGGATGGCTCTGCGCCCTTGGGAGCACCTTTGAAGCCGCCAGACTTCAGCTCTCCTTGACCTCTCCCGGGGTGCGTCGCAGTGGCCAGGGCTGGGCGGGGGGCCGGCTGAGCTCTCAGAGCGAGGCTGGGAAGCTGCTGGAAACAGAAGGCAGGGCCGTGTCCCCGGGAGGGACACAGCAGTGACCCAGGCGCCTCCCCTGGGGGCAGCCCGGGCTAGCCACAGGCTGCTTCCCCGGAAGGCCTTGCTCCCCAGTGCGCTGGGGTCTCCTTGTGAGATGCTCCTGCGCCTGGGCATCCCCAGCTCAACCGTATCACGCTGTCTTCCAACCACCTGGTCAACTGTACATCCTGGGAGGACGAGGGCAGGGCCCACAGTGTTCACGGCTGACCCCTGGGCCCCCTCCCCACACTGGGTCTGGCCCCCACAGGATACTCCAAAGTTCATTAGTGAATGAAAAGCGGGAAAATCACGGTGCTTTTGGAGGGGTGGCTGGTTACACAAGGTTGGTGACAGAGCCCCCACCTCAGGTTTCTATTTTCGAGTAGCACAGTGATTTTGAGGATGTGGCCGCTTGCTAATCCCCTGCGCTTCTAGCTGCAATCCTACCCCTGGGTCAGAGACATTCCCCTCTGCAGAGAACCAGTGACCCAACGGATTGATTACTTGATCCCGCGGAGCACCGGATCTCAGCTTTGGGAGGAAACAGCAAGGTCATCAGGCCCTTTGCTTATGGCCACTATTCAAAGACCTCTACCAAGCGGACACCCAGCCTTTCCCTAAACACTGCCCAGAACAGGGGACCCTCTGCCTCCACAGCGGCCCCTTTCTATCTTGGGGACAGCTTGGAAGGTTAAAAAGTACTATCCAATTCTTTAGCAAAATCTGCCTCTTTATTACTTTACCCGTTAGGGAAACATGAAACAATTAGAATTCTTTCCCTAGGTGATACCTTTCTGTTTCTCCATCTCTTTAATTTTCCCTGTAGGGATTTCCCTAAGCCCTGTGGACTCAGGAGAGAGTAACACTGTACTCCGTGAGAAAGGAAAACAAGCACTGTGATAGTGACTTATTATCTGAATAATATTTGAGTCAAACTTTCTTTTCTTGAGAGGGGGCATGGTCTGATTTTAATTAGAATTGGGAAAAGGAAAACAGGGTGGCAGGGAGAGGGATTAAGCAATTTCCCAGGGGACCAGGAAGACTCCATCCCATCCCAAATCGTTCCCATGCCAGGCCTCGGTCAACTCAGGCACATCTGGCCAGCGCTCTTTCCCTGCAGCAGTCTGGGGAGCCTCCGGGCTTGGGAAAATTGCGGAGACTTAAAAGCCAGGTAAATCTGCAGCCAGGCTGCTTGCAAGGAGACTCGATGGCGGAAGGAATCAGAGGGGCTACTGGCTCTTCCCACCCTTTTTCCATCCGAGGACATTATCCAGAGGAGTCCAAAGAATTTGAGCAAACTGAATTGTATTTTAAACTCACAAGGCATTGCCCTCGTGTTTATGCATGTGGATTTGGGTTTGAAGGCAAGCTCCCCCACTTTCCAGTTCAACGATCTTGGATGAGTTACCTTTCTGGGCCTCATTTTCTCCCACCATAAGGTGAAAAAAAAAATGTTGACTTCAGAGCATTGTCAACACATGCAAAGTGCCCAGTACAGTAAGGGCTCAGCTCCCCACCCCCACCCCTCTGAGATGCAATTAACACCCAATGACGTGAGCTTGTACAAGTGGGGCCCCAACTGAAAAAGTCAACTTGGAAAGGCAGGAAGCAGTTGGCCAAGGTCTTCTCCATATAGAAGAGTCAATTCCGAGTAGGCAGCTGAGCATTGCTGATGCTAATGCCCCCTCCCCGCCACCCCGATTAGGGGATTTCACCTGTATTATTTCATTTAATCTTGACAGCAACAGACAATTCTATTAGTGTTATGGACTGAATTATGTCCCCTCCCCCACCATTCATCTGTTGAAGCCCAGTCCGCAATATGACTGTACTGGGAGATGGGCCTTCAAGGTGATTATGGTTAAATGAGGTCATAGGGGTGGGGCCCTAGTGTCCTTACAAGGAGTGCACATGCACAGAGGAAGGACCAGGAGAGCACACAGAGATAAGGTAGCCGCCGGCAAGCCAAGGAGAGAGGCCTCACCAGCCACCAACCCTGCTGGCACCTGGATCTTGAGCTTTCAGCCCCCAGAAGGGTGACGAAATAAATCTATGTTGTTTAAGCCACTCAGTCTGTGGCCTTCTGTTCTGGCAGCCCTAGTTGGCTAATATCGTAAGTGTTAAGGTTACAGAAACTTACTCATAAGAGAGAATAAAGTAATGGGCATGTGGATGCTCTAGAATTTTCCACCATCCATCCTCCATTTACCACTAGGGCAGAAAGGTCTGAACACCCAGATCTCTGCAACATGACTTTCCTTTCACTCCTTCCTGGAGTATCTCAGAGTGTCTCAACCTTTCTCTACAGGATCATTCACACAGAATCATGTAGAGTCTTCCTTATTGGTGAGGTAGAGGAGTTTCAAGGGAAATTTGGATTATACGTGAGTCCACTTAGCACTCTGGCTTTTAACCCCTGTACGTCTATGAAGTGTGAACTCAGGCAAATCACAGCCACAATGGCTACCTTTTAGGTCCCCTGATGTCTTAAGTTCCCTCTGGCCTCAGGGCCTTTGAGTATGCTGTATCTTCTGCCTGGAATG